CCCCAAAACCCCAAAACCCCAAAACCCCAAAACCCCAGCTCATCCATCTAAAATTGATAAATTAAGATTATAAATATGAAAGAAGCTTTCAGTCTTACGACAGTACCCTCTCTTGACCCAGGTAAGTGTCTTCTTACTACATAAAACCTTTATCTAAAGCAAATATTAACTTGATTTAGTGTCTGCAGGAATCAGAAGGAATTTTAAGAGCAACCCTAGAAGCTACAAAATGAAATCAGTACTCTGCTCATCAATGGTCAAAGAGATTGCCTTCATTGATAAGCTACGTCGGTCAGGAACTCTTTTCGCTGGAGATAAGCCAAAGTCCATCAAAGATGAGGATTCAGAGTCCAGTTTGGAGCGAAAAATTAGATTCTTTTATTCCCCATATAACAAAATGGGGAATTATAAGCCGTACATGAAGTTTGAGATAGAAGACGAAGATAACTGTCTCCAGAGTTTATCGGTATCTCCTAAGAGAAAATCAACTTGGAATAAGCTGTCCAAGATTATTATTAAAGAAGACCCCAAAACATGGAAATAAAATGGTCAATAATATCTCTCACATTTATGTCAATAATCCTAAAAAGTTTGGTGATAGTCTAAAGCCTCGATCAAATTATTCCAGAAGTAAAGTATCTATCTCTACTTTTAATGAGACTCAACCTGGGAACAAGCTGCAACCTTCCAAGTTTAGGAAGTCTTATGTCCATAAGAAGAGGAAGATTATGGTTAAACACATCAAACCGAGACTTACTAAAGTTGATCATCATAAGACTCTTGACCATCATACAGTTACAGTAAATAAAGTGGCAAAAAGTCGTCCTTTCTCTCCTGAAGCTAGGCATAAAAAGCTACTTGATGATATTACGAACATAAAACTTGCTAAGGAGTCATGTGAGAACCCTATTTTCTTACTTTCCCCACGCCCTGAGCATCCAAGGTCGCATCAGCCACAGGTGCCTACTAGGAGAAGACTTCATTTGAGTAAAAACAAAGCATTATGTCTTAAGAAGAAACAGGTTTTTATGTCTAAAGGAGACAATTTCATCAAAAGAGCCAGGAGGAGGGCTAAAATTAGCACTACCAAAGTGCCCATTAGAGTCGATCGCAGTCACTAATTCATATCTAAATATTTGTTAACTATACTAACCATCTGTGTGGGGTGAAACATTCAGGTTTAAGATAAGCTCCCAGAAAGGAATAAAGGGCTCTTAAATATGCCACCTGCCTAGATTAGGGATCCATAGTATGAATACTTTAGCCAATTCTGCAAAATTAGATGAGAACAAATGCTCTTTTTAGTACTAATTTTAATAAAATCTCCTTTTGGTAAGGGAATCAAGAAATTTTTCTTAAAACGAAGGCTACAGATGATATCATGAGAGAGATTTTGGCTAAAGACTACACAGCAATCTTAACGGGATATTGGGGAAATATAACAATAGATAGAATAGAAGGAGATATAAGGTTAAACGATTCTTGGTAGTTCAGTAAGAATCTAAGAGATAATTATACAAAGACTCGGAAATAATAAGAGGCTGGCATAAATAACTTTGACCTTATCATGTTGATATTTTCAATTAATTCAAGTGCAAGAGACTCAATTGGATATTTAGAAGCAATTTTGCTGTCAAATCACATGATTTCATCCCAACTCAGTCTCTTCCTTTAAACCTTACACTTCTAAAAGTTAATAACCTAACTCCTCCCAAACTTGCTCTCCAGTCATTTTCTTCATTATTCTGGGAATGATTATAAACCATCTGCATCAAAATGTAATAGAATCTCTCATTCCAGCAAAGGAAACCCTAGTGGCAACCTACTATATACTCATCAGATGCTTTTAAATGCATCTGATTAGGGCATCATCTAATTTCAGCTAGCCTATAGACCATTTTGAGTAAACTAATTAGTAACTTAAGTTACGAAAACCATGAAGAACGATAACATGTTTTAGGATTCATCGATTTAGAATTAACAGGCGATGGCCTATTCGTAGAGAAGATAACCGATGAACAAGGACTTTAGGTTAGATAAGGAGATTACAATGGTAGTTTAGGGTATATTAGCTATTAGAACTGGATCAAGATGGCGGAGACTATGTCATGTGGGGTATAGATGTATGAGGTGTTCAAAAATTTTGAGAGATTTTCGGAATTTTTCGAAGGGGTTTCGAATGATGAGAGACATGCGATTCCTAACCACAAGTATCAATTTAGAGCCTTACTCAAATATCTCTCAAAAGCTGTTCAGGAATAAAGCAATTAAAATATTAAGTGTTATTATAAGAAAGCCTCACCAGATGTTGTAAGGAGGCTTAGTTAAGACTTAATTTTGATGTCTTTATCATTCACTTTATTAGATATCTCATCACTTCTTTCGCAATCTTCGATTTCAACCCTCAAACGTGAGGGAATGAGACATAAATGTTAGTATTATTCTACTGAGGTTTGCCAATTCTTGATTAATTTCAATGAATCTCAATTTTAAGTCTCTCCAAAGACTCTTAGCTATATTTTAAGTTAAACAGCTTTGCAGGATAAACGATCAGAGTTAAAACTATGTTTCGTTAGAATTAAGTCAGTAAGGAGTTCATAGCCTCTAGCAAGCATGGAAATTGTGAACTTCTTACTTTCGACATTTATCCACAATAGGACTAAAATAATAATTAGATAGTCAAAATTTTCATCTAAAAACTATAGAAGATTCTTCAAGAGCTTTGTCATGCCACATACAAGCTAATAATTGTCTCACGGATGCTTACAATTCTGTCAATTTTGATAGCTCATAGGGCAAGTTAGCATCCCATTTGATATTTTGATTAATAATAGTGCCTTGCAGAAATCCCACTATGAGACATAAAATAATATTTCTTCTTCATAAACTTTATTCGTTCATGCCTCTTTTTATCACTCTGAGAAAGCTTTCTATGTTTACAAAAATTTCGAAATTCCTTTGCTAAAATTTCAGATTCCTTTATAACCTCAGTATGGGTTCTAAAAAGGTAAAAGTCCTTAAGCTGGTCCAAATTTAAAAGGTCCTGATTCCTGAACCCTTCAGGTTCAGGAATACAAACTTGCAATTTTGGATTCATGAAAGATGTTTACAGTTAAATTCATCCAAGATTATGGGTGAAATAATAAGATGAGAAGCACAAGAGTGAAGATTATAGAACTAGAATTGATATGAGTTGACACTAATCCCGAATTTCCTTAAAATATGAGGGAAATCGATCTCTACTTGGCTGATATTGAGACTATAATTTTTCTTTAATTTTCAACCAGGAATCACTAATTTGGGGTTTTGGGGTTTTGGGGTTTTGGGGTTTTGGGG